ATCCTATATGGATTAGTAGAGTTCACATGTATGCTATAGGATAGGTGTCCCTTTATTAGGGTTATTATATATTTTTGCCATCTTTCTTTAATGTCTTCTGAATTAAGTTAATCACTATTTAGTGTTTTCTTCTAAACAGAAGCATTTCATCACAGGCTTTAGCATAAGCCCTTTTTTCTTCATTTCACCTTGTCTATGCAATCCCTAGCTGAAAAATCTGCATGCATGTCCTAACTTGAACATTCATATAAAACATACCAGGTCAGTCAAAGGTCAAAGGACATTTTTAAATGCCGTAAGAATTTTTTTTGTTGACCTTGACTAGTGCCATTTTTGGGTGTTCATCCATATGTCTCGGGTTTAAAGTTAGCTCCCTTAGTGTACGGTCATACCAGCAGTAATGCACCGGATCCCATCAGAACTCCGAAGTTAAGTGTGCTTGGGCGAGAGTAGTACTAAGATGGACCCCTTGGGAAGTCCTCACGTTGGCACCCATTTTTATCAATTAAAAAAAAAAAAAAAGTTAGCGCCCTTAAGCATGTCGTTTTGGTTGCATATTATTACATTTCTGTTTTTCTTTTCTCTCTCTCTTCTAAGACATCATCAATCTTTCTGCTTGGTTACAGCAGCCAAGATGCATTGGTAGATGCAGAGGATACTGATGTAAAATATCCCGATCAGCCCCAATCACCTTCACAAGGACCAGAAACCTTCACTACGAGTGAGGTTGAAGAATCATCATCCATTAACCCTGATTATAGTGAATCCAAGACGGAGGTCGCCCCAAGAAGTTATCAACTCCCTGTGGTCCACACTTCAAACAACAGTTTTGGTTTTGTGCCACCAACAACGGGGGGTCAGCTTGCACCTTCAGAAAGTTCAGAATCTCAAGTACGTGATGCTTCTAGAATGCCAGGCTTTGTGGTATGTCTGCATTATCCCATATGATATGTGGAGCTTTGATTTGCTCAATCCTACATAGTACTTCCTATGTATCTGTGTCGTCGCTGTCACATGTTCTTCTATTCTACGTAAGACACCAGTCGTGCCATTTATTAGAGATTTTATGAATCTTTACATTATCTATTATGCCGTGCAGATGCCACAAACTTTTGATCCAGCAAGTTATTATGCTCAATTTTATCGTTCTGGCTTGGATAGCGATGGCCGCATATCTCCTTTTCAGTCAGCTGGACCAGCAAACAAGTTTCCCGGAAATGCTGCATTGGTCTCTGCACAGACTCCTCAAGAGGTTTGGCTTCCAATTTTCTCCTTGGTTCCTTTTCTTCCTTGTATGTCATCTTAACAGTCGAGTGTTTGTGTCTTTGCTAATTCAATTGATTCGTTCAGTTTCAGGGTGGTGTCCCTCTACTTCTGTCTACAGCATCTCAAACACCTCTCGTTACCCAAGCAGCTGGAGCTGGGGTGATGCAGAGCGCAATCCAGCAACCCCTTCCGATTTTCCGCCAACCTTCCGGAGTTCACCTGTCCCACTATCCTCCTAATTACATGCCATATGGGCCCTATTTTTCCCCATTCTATGTTCCACCACCCACCATTCATCAATTCTTGAGTAATGGTGCATTCCCTCAGGCTGGCGGCAGTTTGTATCAGTCAGCACCTGGGACAAATGCCAAATTTTCAGTTTCTCAATATAATAAGCAGGGACCAAACACGGGTAGCTCGGCTCACATCGGTTTGCCTGGAAATTACGGACCGTATGGTCTTTCCATGTCCACCTACACCTCTGGTTCAGCAACAGCAACTGTTACTTCAACGTCCAACGAGGATATTGCGGCTAAGGAGAACAATGTCTATGTCACTGGCCAACAGGTTCGTTTGTTTAAGTGATTCGTTTTTGTGAATTGATGAACTTATCTTTTAGGAGATCTGCCAGGATGATTACTTTGACTACGTGCAGTTATTTGTTCTTGGTACCCATTGCTGATTGTAATAATAATATCTTCACGTAGATGGTCAAATGATATAAATCAATTACATCCTCAAGGGGTTCAATTATGTAATAAGAGGGAGCTACAACTCCGTAAAATAAATGGATATTCATGTATACGAGGTGGAAATTTCAACAGTAGTTTTTCAAATTTACCCTATATTGTTTAAAACGCACACTGTTGGGATGTTTCTCATCATTGAACTGCCATAAATTACAGTTTCGTTATTGGTGTATTTACGTAGAATCCAAGGATGAAAGATTTATGTTATACCATTACGGCGTGGTACAAGTCTATCAAGCTAGGGATGCGTGCCATCTGCATTATGGGTTTCCTTCAAGATATGTGAAGAATTACTCATTTATGATCCATATTTTTTTTTCCAATTTCTTTTTTACAGAATGAAGGCTCTGGTGTATGGTACACTGCACCTGGTCGTGATATTTCAGCCTTACAAGCTAGTTCCTTCTACAATCTTCCTCAATGCCAGCTGACTTTTGCCCCATCACAGCCAGGCCACGTACCCTTCACGGGAGTTTTCCATCCAGCACAGTCAGTGACAGCAGCAAATGTTCACCCGCTCTTACAACAACCACAAGCAATTACAAACAATCCCGTTGATATGGTGGGCCCAACAGCCGGCATTTACCAGCAACCGCAGCACACACAACTAAACTGGCCGAGTAACTACTGAAAGAGGGGAAGTTCATTTCTTGCTTTTAAGGCACCGGGCGAATTTAGAATCGAGGCCCGTAGTGGGAATTCCAGACAAGTTTTGATTCGATGGAGAAATTGGAGGACGAATGCGTGTGCTGAGTGTAAATTAATGGAAGGGGGCCAATAATGTTTGGCTATATATGTTTCTTGTGGTCTTCATGTGATTCACATTTTAAGCCCCTTTATAGGTTTTAGCTTCATTGGTCAATAGCAGAAATTGGGGCTTTTTCACTTCCTGTTGTTTAATTGGGCATTTTCTTTTCTTTTTTTTTTCAAGTTTTGAAAAATTTAGAGGTGATATAGGCAGATTCTAAGGCGAGTATTCGTTAGGTGCTGGGTTGTGTTTGTCTCTGCCCTATTACTTTTCATCTCGTTTCACTTTCACCCCGTTTTTAATCTTTGCGTTGTCTTTACCTGTAAAGTGAGAAGTTTTGGATTAGCAAGGAAGGTGTACTTTGGAAACTATTGTAATTCTCTATGGTCTATTTCTATGGGAATATTTTGTTGTTCTAATGGATTAATTGAACTTGACAGACCTTACAGGTTTCTAGATTTTGGTATCTAAAATGGACGAAAAAATTTATGTTACTGCACGATCTAGGAAGTTTTGATGCTTGTATAATTTCTTAGGCTATGTTGGTAAAATTAGCTAATAGTTTATTTGTAATTTTTTAGCTATAGCTTATGACTTATAATTGAAAAACTAGCTTGTATGATAAGTGTTTGGTAAAATTAGCTGATAAGCTAGTTGAAATAAAAAATTCAACTAGCTTATTTGAAAAGCTACCTAAAGTAGTTTATGAGATAAGTTCGAGCTTTTTAAAAAACTCCATCTTACCAAACGAGGTTTATTTGAATACAGGGAGTTTATAAGCTAACCAAATAAGCTATAAGCTAGCTTATTTGGCTTACCAAATACAGTCTTAGTGAGCACAGGTTGGTACATTACTTGTAATGAAATTTTTTATGCTTGTAGAATTTCTTGTTAGCACAGGTTAGTACATCACTTGTAATGAAATTTTGATTCTTCCTCACATGCTAACTATTGAAAGGTCTTCCTAATATGTTCCGTGGTTGGTTCTTTGCATAGTAACGTTTTTTTTTTTAAACTTTTTACCGAAATTAACGTCGAGCATAAAAACTCAAGCGGTGCTTCTAATTACCCTTTCTAAAGGTGTTGGATAAATTCAATTTACGTGACTTGTAGATTATTGAGAATTTAGATTATCATCTCGTCACTCTTCTGTAACCATTAATATATCTAGGGGAAAAGAAAATATCCTAGAGAAAATTTCAGGTACGTTTTCTTATCAAGAGACGGAAATAAAAAGAGCTTTTCATTTTCTTCCAAATCAAATCCCTAACTTACATTAATTTCGAACCTAATTACCTGACGCACAAATGCTGTTTTAATGGAAAAATAATTAGGCTCATATAACTTTCAAATGTTGCTTTATTAGTAATTGAGCTTAACCGATGGGAATCTACACCTTTTGTTCCTCCCTCAGAAAGCGAAATGAAGATGATGTTGTCTTGAAATAAGTGCTGAGAAGGAAAGTATCATGGGATGAACAAANAAAAAAAAAAAAAAAAAAAAACCAAGCGGAACCGTGCAATTCAATGCAGAACCGAAATAGAAATGAGATTATGTGTTTATGCCGAGACCTCTTACAACACTGTTTTGCAAGTTGATTTGGTTTGTCAGTCCGAAACTTTTGGTGGGCTGATATGCTGATATTATGTGATCATCACATATTCAAATAAAATTATTAATGTGCTTTTAAGCATTTCACATTGCATTAACACCAACATCATACATGTGGGTAGTATCGTGCCAACTGAATGAACCAAACATATAAGATGATTTGGTTAACAAAGCATGCCTTATACCCATTTTCCATTTATCTCGTTAATTTCCAGGAGTATTGATCCCGAGCAACATAACCAATAGCGTAAATCAATAGCCAAATGATCAGCATAATATCAAGAGCTCTCTCTCTCTCTCTTTTTTGGTGCCTCTATAACTACATATAATATGTAAATGGATGGAATTTGAATATTTTTTATAGTAAGGCTAAAGGTGTTATTAGATTATTAGCTTATGTTAAAGCTCGTACTTGTTTATGGAATTTGTTTGCTAATATGAAATATTCGTCAACATTAGCACGACTGCTTCATTTACAACACATAAAAAGAATAAGTTGTTTGCGACTCGGACTCGGACTCGGTTCATTTAAAACAAAGCAAGTGGGAAGTTGTATTTGCGGTGAGTTGATTGTAGTTGGATGGGTACCCATTCACTTTGCAAGTTGCACATTACTAATTTATTATACAATTTCTAGCAGTCCATATAGCCGACATATATAAGTAAAAGCAATTGTTTTTAGGCAAATACCATTTATTAAAATCACCGAACGTATCGCTTTCTAAGTTTATCCAGACGAAAGAGAAGCATATAGCAGTCCACTTGTTATTGCCTCATAACAACGTCTATTGGGCCTTTGAGATAAGGAAAAACGTTATCACTTTTCGAGTGGATGTTAATACACAACTAGAAACTTCTTGGTGCTTTTTCAATTTTTAATCACCTTTTTTTGGTGCTTTACCCATCCTTTATTTGGTGCTGCACCCATTATCATAAACGTTTAGTTGATTTAGAAATAGAAATGAATCTAACAGTCCGGGATCTTGAATCTTTAAGAGAAAATTACCCCCATACAATCCCGCATAAATTTCCCAATCTTTAATGTGCACCTTCTCTTTCGACACTTTGCTTCTCATCTATCTTATTTTATTTTGAATATATCGGAGTAATATTTAGAAACTTTTTTTTTTATTTTATTTTGAATATTTCATTTGAAATTTCAAGTAACATTTACAAAGATTTTTAAATTTGTAAGATTTTCAAATTTGAAAGAACGTGAGATTTAGAATAAAATTCCGTATATGTTATTTTCTTTAAAAATCCCAACAAATTTTAAAAATTCTTAACAAATCTTAGTCCATTGAATAGCTCAAGATTTTGTAACACTTTTTAAAATCCCAAATGAATATCTCAAGACTTTTAGAAGTCTTGAGAAAATAAACCAAGATTTGAAGTCTTACAAAATCTTCAAGTATCTCAATTCAACACACCCTCCTAAATTTGGNCTAAGCCAGATATACGATTTGTATACGAAAACATAAAGTTGCATATAATAGGTAAAAGTCTCATTAAAGCACAATCCCCATTAATCGATATTTCTGCCTACACGAGAAAAGTGCAATTTGCCTTTGTTAGATATACAACACTGTCAATATGACCCCATGCCCATCATCCCATATAACTTACACAGCAGATAGATAACTTGCCTATTTAAAGCACCCTTTTTGCACATTAATTTTATCATCACACACAAACACAAGAAAAAAAGAAAACACACCACCTATCCAAAACTCCACATTCTTGTTTCTCATCTCCCTTTTTTTCCCCCTTAAAAAATGGCATTAGAAACAGCTTCACTACCTCAATCTCCTGTTGCTATCACCAAGGACGATTTCGAATGGCTGGAAATGGCCGAATTCGACACGAATGCTATACACGAGCTGCTTTACGAACCCACAGAGGAAACAGGTAATGGTGGAAGTGAAACCCTCATGCAAGAAGCAAATACGAGCAAAACGGGTCTCGATAAGGGCTTACCAGGCGAGAGTTACTGGTGGCAAGACGAGATTAAGGAGCTCGAAAAATTCGATTGGCCGAGTATGGTGGGACGAGAAACACTGGAACAGTGCAACGATATGGTAGGAGATTGGTACGGTGATTCGTGTGTGGAAGGCATTAATGATTTTTTTGAGATAGGGGATTATTCGTTTTCTTCGCACAATGCGAATTTGTATGATGAGATTGGGTACATTGGGTTGTGGCAGGAGAATTATGATTTATGAGTAGGGTCGAATATAAAGAATGCCTTTGAGGTTTTAGTCTAATCTCTGAAAGGCACATTAGCTATCTTTTAATAGGAAGAGAAAAATAAGACAAGTAAATTAAAGGAGGCTTGTTTTAATGCCTTGAGGAGATTTTGCAAATCAACTATAGCAAACCTAAAGGGCAGCATTTCTTATGCTATATATATTGGAGTTATGGGATTTTGAATTACATGCAAAAGCTGAATGCGAAATTATTCAGAGTCTCTTAGAATGTTTATGTTCAATTAAACGTAAACAGGGAAACTGGAGCTGAAGCATTCAAGAAATGATGCAATCTGAATAACCATGAGTTTTTAACTACAACATTTAGTTTTTGACACATTAGTTTTTCTAGGTCTCCAGGTAAAGAAAAGGTGGAAAGAATGGAGAATACAATACCGAAAGCATAATTATTGTCAGGTACCTTTGGGACCAACATTAAACTTGGCAATGAAAAAGCCAATGGTATCAAGTTCTGAAGAAGGATCAAATCTCTGCACGAGATCTTCTTCCCCTGGCCGCAACCATTCCCTGAAAAACATGGGAATACACAAATCAGTTATCTGCTTTGAAAATGATGTTGAATTTCTTAATGATATTTTCCATCGAATGCAAATCAATGCATCTTGATTCGGTAAAACTTGATGATGAATGCCAGATAGAAGAACGTACTCCTGATATCCATCTGCAAACTGACATCCACCAACAAGGCCGGGTCCCCCAACTTTCGGGTGCTACGAATGAATTAGCAAATAGATACATAGATCAATATCGATTTTAATTATAAGCATATTCAGGGTCTTTGATAAACAAACAAATGATAAATATGCACATCAAGATGTTGTCATTTGTTAGACCTTTTTCAGGAATTTTATCTGGCAATAGAACTAATAACAAAAAAAGTTAACAATTAAATTGGAAATCATATTTTGAGTTACATGGAGTGAAATTCCATTCGAGGAAAACTGATCAGATAAGAATATAGATTTCATTATTTCAATGGGCATTTCAAAATTCAAGCTAACCTGTGGTGCCAATGAGAGAAACTTGTATGTGTCCAGTGCATATCTAACCAATGCTTCATTTTCACCTGGATTAATTGTACATCTGCAGTTTGGAACAACAAATAGTGATATTCTACTAAAATATGCGTGAAAATCAATAAATAAGAAAATGGGGCACAACTGTGGCGCACAAGATAAAAAAAAAGATACACAGGCTTTGGCTTTTAATTGAATGGAGCAAACAAAAACAAAGACAAATTTTGATTAGAGTTTGCCCTCACAAAATAGAATTTAGAATATCTAAACTAAACCTAGGGAGGGAAAACAAAAATGACTCAGGAGGAGATGGAAACACCATATGGACAATAAGCAAGAAACTGCTTAAAAGTTGAACAGGAAGTAAAAAACATGGAATTTGTTATACAAATGGTGCTTATAAGAGAATAAAGAAAAAGAAGACGAATACTTTCCCAGTGAACGTGTTCACAACATAATGAGAATGCTTACGTTGAATACACAATAACACCACCAGGGCGAACGAGCTGCACAGCCTGGTCAAACATACGCTTCTGATACTTTGCATGTGTTCGTAATGATTCCACAGTGTCCTACAAATAATACAGTTTGAAAATAGAAATTAAAAGGAGAAGTTACGGAAAAATTTTGGGGGTTGGGGAGATTTAGGAATATGACTCACCTCTCCAGCAAACAATCGGGGTCTCAGACCAAGAGCAGAACAAGGAGCATCAAGGAGAACCCGATCAAAGCTGTTAGGTGAAAACCCTTTACACTTTTCAACTCGTCCACCCAAAGAGTTATTTCGTCCAGGCCCATTTCTCATTTTCCTAATGTCATTCCGGAGCTCAGCTTTACTGGTGCAATTTTCAATTCTTAATTGCTCGACGCTTGCTACTTTATCTAGCATGGAGGAGATGAAAAATGGACAAAACATGAGACACAACATTTTTATGAGAAAATCTATAAAATGATCTCTAGTACCTGAGAAATGGCTTGTTTCATAATCATACAGTAATGCAATGATAATAGAAATCAAGGTTTATTATTGACTACTTAGAGGTTCGGATGCTAATGAATAACGATACACCCTAAACTACAACCATTACAGTATAATGATGTTGTATAGCTTTGCCAGCTTCAACAATTTGGTTATAACAATATAACTAAACCAAACAAGCAGAGTATCACAAGAATGCAAGTACTATTCTCGCCTGAGTTTTTTTTTTTTTTCAATACGCATACACAAATGTTACTGCAACCTCGATTAGTGATTTTTTCTATATGTCCAAACTCGACAAATCTGAGATTTTCATGCTCTCATTCTCACCACATTGTGGAGAAGCTTGACTATCAGGATCAATTATCTTTTCAACTGATTTCAGTGCATCAAGCTTGTAAGTGGTTATACACTTCAAGCCCATCTCAGCTGCCCGTTTTTGGATGTCAAGCACCTGAAAGTGGCATATCTCAATGAATAATAAAATTAATCCCAGACTTTGATATGTACAAACATCAGAGACGCAAGGCATTTAACACATATCGCAAATTTGAAATAGTACACATGCTACACTTAATAGCAGCGATTCCAAGTTCTTCAAATCTGATTCTGGAAACATTTAGAATAACATCAGAATGTGGAGCCTCGGTGAACATCACAAGCCAATTGCATCCACAAGCTGTTACCATCTCAAAGACGTTCTAGTTTCTGGAACAGAAACATTGCCCAAGTACTAATATGATTTTGACACCATTTTGTGGTAAAATAGTATAATAACAACTTCCGTGAAATTCGTAGGTTAGAATTTGTGAAGTCAAATAATATAATCCCAAATTCTAGAATCTTGTAGTAAAGCTTTGTTGTTTAGAATCTATATACCAAAAACAAGGAGCAGATACGATTCGGATTCATAAACAATATAAATTGGATAAATTAGACCAAAGTCATGATATTGTGAAGATTAAAACAGGAACCAGTTACATATTCGCAATCACCTGGGAAGATAAGAAGGTGCACCTTATTGTGAGACCGGTCTGCTGCAACAATATCTCCTTTGTCCTTCATGAGAATAGCAATAGCAGTGGTTTTTCCCCCAGGAGCTGCACACATATCGAATAACCTCTCCCCCTCTTGAGGATCTAAAATGAAGATAAGATTTGGGGCAGCTTAGCAAATAAATGAGGAACACAAGCAGCAGGTCGCATATGAATTTTGGAAACTTAATTAAAAAATCATAGGGAGAAGAAAGTTTAAGAACTAATTAGTTTGATGTAGTAACAGCTAACAAGCATTAACGGATTGTGATTTTTAACCAATGAATGGATAAGTTAACTTTTATCTACTTCATTATGACCTAATAAGACCCTTTCTTGATGCAAGCTGATATGCATGCAAACCAGATGCACGGTATTTAATTTATTGTACAAGTAATAAGCACGGTTGACCGTAAGTATCACAAACACATTTACAGAAACAGACATATGATGAAACAGTGGTAAAAATGCAGATTAAGAGCAAGAAGAAATAATAAACAACTGCAGAAAATAAACATATACCACCGTGTCATGTTGGTCTGTTACATACCTAGGGCATGTGCAGTTATGATGCTGGGTAGGTTTTGAAGAAATATTTCCCCCTCAAGTAAATCTGCAATAAAAATGCAGGTAATCCATGGTGACAATTTACAGTTACGATTTTCACACATAAAAAAATTGAAATTCGAACTACTGGACCATTGAGAAGAATAAAATAATTATAAGGATTATAACACTATAGGTGCACAAAAGAGATATTTCGAAACATTTGTACTCACATGTTGTAGAAATATGATGCCAGGATGGGGTAGTATGATAAATTCTCATTTTGTCCATTGCAAATGGAGCTGGAAGAGTCATTGTTGACAATTCTCTTGGCATAGTGCTAAAAATGGACTAGATCAAAATGGCTCAATTATTCTAGTGCTTCTTCTATTAGTGAAGTTTCTAGAAAAAAAAGAAATATATCAAACGGCGCAATGCACCTTGGGTCGCTACGGAAACAGCCTCCTTGTATAATTACAAGGGTAATTATACAAGGGTAAGGTCTGCGTACAACTGACCCCCCAGACCCCAACCTGTTGGGAATATACTGGGTATGTTGTTGTTGTTGTTGTTGTAGAAAGATAAGGTCATTCAAAAGTGGAAACTACTCATTCAGTTTCACTCCAAATGAAAAAATGTCTTGCCTGCTTAGCCTGATCCAGACTTCCCTCTTCCAACCTCACAACTTTAATAGTTATCTAAGAGTCTAGAATCCCTAGATTAACTTTACAGCATTTGGGAGGACAAATGCCTTTTCATCTCTGCCATTTCAGGCCCCGTGACATTTCATGTTTCTGGTTTGTAGGATAAGTTGGAGGTGCTACAGTTGATGATACCAATTTATGTGACAGGCTTACATAAACAAGCCAAGATACTAATCATTCTTATAGTGATGTGTTAGCATTCTTTCTAAGATCCCTGTCTTGCCTATTCCCTGAAATCCTCCCTCTGAAAAAATGAACGGAAGCTACAGAGCTAGATAAAAGATCTGCATGCACTCGAATGTATAAACAAACATGTATTCTCGAATAGACTGCATCCTGACAATACATTTAGGTAATTTGCAAAAAGAACAAAACTATACCATAAAACGAAGGAAGGTTAAATACTCTTTTATGCATGTCTAGTGCAACCCCTTCGGATGCCCGAAACATCCCAGATCTCGACATCATAGTATTTCCTTGACCGATGTAGAGCCCATTGCGTTCGAAATAGTGAGGATCTGAAAAAAGATACAAACTCGTTCATTCTTAAAGTTCCAAGGAAAGTTTTCAGTTAAATAATACAGCAAAAACATAAAGTTGA